ATTAGTTAAAGGTGTAAATCATTATTTGTTTTGCATTTAACTAGAAGTGCTTTCTTATAAAAAACGCATATACCTATAATTATAGGTATATGAAAAAACGTTTAAACATAAAGAATTCTTGTTAAAAACTAAAAATCAAAATAAATGTAGATGAAAAAATTAATTAATTAATTAATAAAAATAATAAATTATTATTTTCAATCGTTTCCCCAAATTGCGTTAAACAAAAGCCCAGTCCGTCATAAAATTGTATCTGGGGAGGGGCGTTCGGGTTCACTCGGGTTTACTCGAGTTACAAACAAATAGAGATGGCTGCAGTAAAAATTAATTTATAAATGCACCCGTCGTCTTTTATAAAATAATTTTTTTTTATAAAATTATTTTTTTATAAAATAATTTTTTTTTATAAAATAATTTTTTTTTATTAAATAATTTTTTTTATAAAATTATTTCTTTATAAAATTATTTTTTTATAAAATAATTTTTTTATAAAATAATTTTTTTATAAAATAATTTTTTTATAAAATAATTTTTTTTTATAAAATAATTTTTTTATAAAATTATTTCTTTATAAAATAATTTTTTTATAAAATAATTTTTATTTATAAAATATTTTTTTTTGTAAAATAATTTTTTTTTATAAAATTATTTTTTTATTAAATAATTTTTTTTTATAAAATAATTTTTTTTTATAAAATTATTTCTTTATAAAATTATTTTTTTATAAAATAATTTTTTCTTATAAAATTATTTCTATATAAAATTATTTTTTTATAAAATAATTTTTTTATAAAATTATTTCTTTATAAAATAATTTTTATTTATAAAATTATTTTTTTATAAAATAATTTTCTGCGAATCAAAAATTATTTTATAAAAGACGACGGGCGCATTTATAAATTAATTTTTACAGCAGCCATCTCTCTTTGTTTGTAGATACTCGAGTAAACCCGAACGCCCCTCCCCAGATACAATTTTATGACGGACTGCTTAAACGTTTTTTCATATACCTATAATTATAGGTATATGCTTTTTTTTTAAGAAAGCACTTCTAGTTAAATGCAAAACAAATAATGATTTACACCTTTAACTAATAATTAACTGTTAAAATCTATAAACAGCACTACGGTGATCGTATTGTTCATCTTTTACGGGAGGAAGTCCCGGGGACTCAGGTGTCGGTTAAGTTAATTTACTTTTAAAAATTTAGATATTTAAAATGTAAGGTACCTAATCAATTTTAACAGTTAATTATTAGATAAAGGTGTAAATCATTATTTGTTTTGCATTTAACTAAAAGTGCTTTCTTATAAAAAACGTTTAAACATAAAGAATTCTTGTTAAAAACTAAAAATCAAAATAAATGTAGATAAAAAAATTAATTAATCAATTAATAAAAATAATAAATTATTATTTTCAATCGTTTCCCCAAATTGCGTCAAACAAAAGCCGAGTCCGTCATAAAATTGTATCTGGCGAAGGGCGTTCGGGTTCACTCGGGTTTACTCGAGTGTCTACAAACAAAGAGAGATGGCTGCTGTAAAAATTAATTTATAAATGCGCCCGTCGACTTTTATAAAATAATTTTTTTTATAAAATTATTTTTTTATAAAATAATTTTTTTTTATAAAATATTTTTTTTTTATAAAATAATTTTTTTTTATAAAATTATTTTTTTATAAAATAATTTTTTTTTATAAAATTATTTCTTTATAAAATAATTTTTTTATAAAATAACTTTTTTATAAAATTATTTTTTTATAAAATAATTTTCTGCGAATCAAAAGTAATAATAATTTTATAAAGCATATAATTAATTATTTATAAAACAAAATAAGTTTATTTAGCACTTTTAATTTTGACACAAACGGCGCCTCATAAATTTCGCTTAATTGTTATATTTGATTTCTTTTTACTATTGTTGAAAAGTCAAAATATTATTTTTATTTAGCATGAAAGATAACGATATCCATAACGGTCCGTATTTTTTTAACATTACTCAATTGCGCGAGGTGTTTTTCAAATAACGAAAGGCTTAAAGTAAACCAGTTTGCTTTTTACAAATTCCCATAATTATTTATAGATGTTATTGATTGCCTTATACCAATAACGTTTGTTTTTATTGGCATCGATATAAAAAATGCAATATTAATTATGCATTAAAAAAAAACATGTTCGTGTTACTTTACATGCAAAATGCTAATAGTTTCTTTACTACACTATAAAATATACCAGTAAAATGTTATTTTTAGTGATAGGTTACTTAGATGCATAAAATGTAAATATAGACTTGAAGCTTTTAAGAAAACGTTAAGCGTGAAAATAAACTATTTATTGAGTCCCAATGTAAAACCAAATGTTACTAAAATAATATTATTTTATTATTTAATAGGATCACAGGCATTATAATAGTATATTGTGTATCAAGTTTTATAAACGCCATTTTAGTTAGGAGTTTTATTAGGCACGAGATAATCTTTCAAGCGATTGTCTAGAGAAGTTTATAAAACGAGTTGCATACTATACTTTATCGAGGACAAACAAAAATAAGAATTTAAAGCAAATTTTAATTCATAAACATTTTACAATACGAATTTAACCTCACTTTTTCAAGTTCAGCCCGTGACTAAAATGCCATAGTCACAGCTCGCCAAAATTTTTCTTTACTTTTTTGCCACTTCAAATGCCAATAATTTTTTTATTTTAAATGTAACGATATTGTAAACATTGTTTATGTTTGTAATATCCGACGCGGAATATATTCTTCTTTGATATGTTGTAGCATACACAATGGTTTAAATGAATATTTACAGAGATATTACCAGAAATGTGTAAAAACGCTTATTCGACTCGTCACAAGTGTGCCTTGAATGGTTTTAAATTTCTTATTGAAAAAAATAATAATGTAAATCATCTTACAGCAATTTTGGCTAAAGAACGATATTATTTTGTTCAAAAGAGGATTTTTAAGAAGAATAACTTTATGAATAATGTATAATATTTACCACTGATCTTTGGTTAAAGTATTTGATGTGGAAAAACGATGTTTTTAAAATATACTGGAAACAAGAGCTAATTGCAAAATGATTCGTCATTTCTGGAATCCGCGGACCCAAATTACCCTGGAAAAGTTGTTGGCCACCATATGGCAAAATTTATGTCGACTAGTGTAATTTGACTTTTGAACTGCGTACGAATATGAAGTCTTTCTATATAGGCTGAGTGGTATATTATGAAAATTGGATTTTTTTTTTATTTTTAGGTAAAATCTATACTAGTACATAAACTAATTGTAGGATCTCGAAGGTCAGCTAATATTACAACCACGCAAAATTAAAACTGATTGTTTCAAGTGCAGCATGGCCGTCAAGTGAAAACCTAAAGTTTCTTTTATTTATACAATCTAGTCAAAAATAATCAGTTATCATTATCTAATATTTTTAATAAAAAGTCTATATTATTTGATCAGTGACTGAATAAGTCGCTATAATTTTTTTTTATTAAACGTCGAATGCAATATCCATGGAAAACGCGGTAAATTTGGCAGATGAAAAGACCATTTTGTTACAAGAAATTAAAAAAATTGTAATCACTGTAAAATCGTATAATGAGAGTTTGGTAGAACTGACTGAATATGATATCAGAATTCGCCGTTTAAAATAGGACAAACTTATGACTTGGTCCTTTTTTACAAGAATTATATAAAAATATGAACATAATATATTTTACTTGAAAAGGGACAATTTTGGTGATATGTGAACAAATATTAGAAATATTCCTCGACACCAAAACAAAACACAAAGTGCTTAAAGTACCTTTCGCCAACGATGTTGGCATCTTCAGAAGCGAAGTGTAACTAAATCTTACTGCTAAATCTACCATATTTATATTAATTATAAGCTAAGGTTGACTGAACCGTGAACGGACACAGTTTACTAAACCGTGGACCGTAACCGCTTCAGTGAACACGTAAAGAGAAACTAACAAACTAATTTATACAAACTAGTGTTGGGTACCGGTCCGTTATCGCAATTTAAAGATTTAATTATATTCCTATAGATGTATAGTATACAGTATAAACTTTCATAACTATCTAGCAGACTTGGTTCTATGACCATCATCAAATATATGTTGGGGAACACTCGATTTCTCTGTCCTAACCTCAGTACAGGTCTGGAAGGGATTTTTCGAAAAGTGGACTTCAAAATTGCTCTAGTTCAAGGAGTAACACATTTCAAACCCTTTTAGGCAACCCCTAAGATAAAATTTCTAAAATTGAGAAGTCGGGGATCTACGAAATAAACTCTCAAGATTAAGACATGAAATATGTTGGACAAACTAAACGATCCATCCAAATAAGTAAGTAAGTGTTGCCCAACATATACTTGATGATGGTCATAGAATACGATTTGACAACCTTAAACTTATAAGTTTAAGGTTGTCAAAATCCTATTCTATAGAATATCATATGTCATAAATGACCATCATCAAGTATATGTTGGGCAACACTTACTTACTTATTTGGATGGATCGTTTAGTAATATATTAAGGAAGTTAGAAAACGAAGTCTGACAAATAGTTATGAAAGTTTATACATCTATAAGAATAGAAATACATACATCTTTAAATAGCCATAACGGACCCGTACCCAACTCTAGTTTGTATAAATTAGTTTGTTAGTTTCTCTTCACGTGTTCACTGAAGCGGTTACGGTCCACGGTTTAGTAGTAGAAATATGGTAGATTTAGCAGTAGATTTAGTTACACTTCGCTTCTGAAGATGCCAACATCGTTGGCGAAAAGCTCTTTAAGCACTTTGTGTTTTGTTTTGGTGTTGAGGAATATTTCAAATATTTGTTTATAATATATTATATTTAAAAATTAAAATGATACAATGAGTTTTGCTAAGATACTATCCTGTTAAGATCTTAAATTAGCTTTATCCTTAACTAGCATACAATAAAAAAAACTTAAATGTTATATTGTAATAAATTCACTTACCTATAATAATCCTTCTTACAAAAAATATTCCCGTCTTTTGAAAAACAAGTCTTTTCACCGTCTAAAGTGTTCCTGCACTGGCAACACTGCAAACAGGTGGCGTGCCACCTCCGGTCGACGGCTTGCAAGTAAAATCTGTCGGTGATGCGCAGACCGCAACCAGCACAGCCCGAACCGCCGTTATCGTCTGCGCAGCTGGACGGGGGTCTCGATGGCGAACCGGGATTCTGCAGCGGCTCTAACTTTGGTATGTGGTCGGCGAAAGAGGAGTGCGGCCTGCAGAGTTCCACGGGAGTGACCGACTGCGGTGGCAGATGCGTCGAAGTTGGCGGCGGCCTGCAGATGTCCGAGCCGCAGGACTGGTGGTTGTTGTTGGATGGGGTGCTGCAAGAACTGCCGCTGGAGATGCTGGGATCTACGTCCCCCATTGACGAGTCGCACGAGGGGAGGTTCGGCGAGAGGTCGCGGGATGGGTCATACGCCGGGCCTATGTATTGTTCGTGCTGCTGCTGAAAACAAAGAATAAATGTAAAGATTTTGATAATCCTAAAATTATAAAAAATACTTTTAAAAATTCCTCAATACAGTTTTTATCGAAAAGCAACATTTTGGTATTATACGTTAATACAACGTTAGTATACTTATAAAGTTAAAACACTACTGAAATATCTAGTAAATAGAAATATGTACGGCTTGTTCTTATCTACTATAAAAATGTGTAGTATGAAATATAATGGTGCTAGTAAAAATTCGCTATTTTAATTAAGAACAATTTTTTGCTATCATGAATTACTTATAACGGAATGGTTTCTCGAACCTCTCGAATCATTTGAATTTTGCAATCTAATGAATAGTTTCAACTAACTAACTAATTTATATTTTAGAACCTATGTAAATAAGCATGCATGCTACAGCAAGATAATTTGTAATAAAAAAGTATACATTCTTAAGCAGGTGTGTTTGACAAATCGTATATTTGATATTCATAACTTTCATCTGAGGGTCATCCAATAGACATGTCCTATTTTAAACTGCAAATGATGGTAAAGTTTTTTTGCAATTCTGATCATATTTTGCCTTTTGCCACTTTCCCTGAACTATATATAATGGAGACTTCTACACTGCGTACAAATTGCTTTTCTATATGGGCGCACCTTTTGTGATCGTCCAACACAAAAGAACAAATCGACGTTTGAAGAGAAAAATTGAGGCAACTACTCAGTTCAGTAAAAACATCCGGGATGTATTATTGAAATATTTTTTTAAATGAGCAATTCATTATTGTTTTGGAAAAACATATCCGTGAATTTTGCGTGGTGCCGATGAAAGTTGGCTACCAAGGTCTTGCGATTCAGCGATAATAGACTTGAGTTTGGTTTTGAAAACCAGGATCTATGTAAACAAACCACAATGCACTAAATAAAGAATAATATTAAAATAATTATTTATACAATTCATCATCTCAATATCTGAAATTTTCGCTTATCAACGAAGCTTAAGACAGTTATATCATATCATATGTATATGGGTATATGGGTACAATAGATGCACAACTCTGTATTTGCAGGATAAGTAATTATAAGAAAAACATGAAAAATCACTCATAAGATCATTAAAAAAAAATGCAAACATTGTATAGACGTGATTTTGCATCATTTTTATTCAAAAAAGTAAAAAAAAAATCCTTTAAATAATTGTAATCAAAAGATTTAAAAACATAGTTTTGCATCTTCCTCGTTCAAAGACCAAGTTTTGCAAGTGAAAAGTGCAAATACCAAAAAATTACAATAATTGTAATTTTTTGGTATTTGTACTTTTCACTTAATTATTAATCAGGTGATTGTTATGTCGTCACGTAATGCGTATACTAGCGACGTGATTGGTCGACAGCAAATACCGAGTTTTGCATCCGCATTAAGTTTTTAAATGTATTTTATTCTACAAATATTAACTTATACATCTGGTTTACTTAGGTATGCTGTAGGCAGTGCAGTAATGTACATAAATAGGATAAAATAAATATTTTTTAAAAATTTGCAAAAACTGAGTTTTGCATCCTATGTAGGTAGGTACTCATATATATTATTATTTTTTTAGCCCCCTACACTGTTATAAAAATCAGATTTTTTAACTTGAATTTGTAGTATGTTAATTTTATTTTATAAAATTTTAACATAATTTTTTGTATAAAACCAGGGCTTGTAATTATTTTAACAAAGGAAAATATTTTCCTGGAAGTTTTGTAAACATTTTGTAAGCATTTTGTTAATTTCAAAGTTAACGGATTATTTTGTTAATGTTTAATAAATTATTTTGTTAAAAAAGTATACGTGATTTCAGGCAGTCAATCAAAACATTTTCCACTGACAATACGCATCAACAAGTTTAACTGACTTCAGCGTCTGCAACTTATATTTCTGCTTACTTTATTCTAATTCGTAACGTGTTCGTAGCAACTGTCCAGAGTGTTTATAATATATTACCAGAAATCTGTTATTATTGTTATTTCGATTTCTTAAACCTATTTAACGAGTGTGCGAAGTATCCGAAAAAAGATTCCATCACTGGTTTTCAAACTGAAATTAGGGGATACAGTGAAGTGGTTTAAAGTAACGAAATATATCAGTTATAACAACACTATAGTGTTGTAGTAATACTAATAATTATATTTTACCAAATTTCATTATAATTTGATGATTTCAGATGTGATGATGTGTTAATTTTTTTTTTACGAAATTGATTAATAAAGCAACATGTTGCAACATGCTGTAACGAAGTTACTTTTATATTTACCGCCGTCGGTACACCCTGTATGTGGATTTTCGTACAAGTGGACCTGCGACGTCATGATTCCACTTCCATTCTATTCAAACAAGTGGGGAGCTGCGCCGTTTGGTTCCCTGATGTCGCCATTGCGCACCCGAGATGATATAAAAGGCCGAACAGAGCAATTAAAACTCGCTCTTATATCCCGTCAGCCCGACCCCGAACACCCGAACTAAGCTCTTTTGTTCCGGCTCTTAGCTCTTTTTTGTCTCCCGTGTTCCGGCTATCTTATATTCCGTCAGCCCGACCCCGTACACCGAATTATAGTAAGTAATGTCTTCCCGCTAACAGTTATAAAGTATTTTCCCGTGCCCGAGCCAACGTTCGCCCCGTACCGCTCGGTATCTGCTCTGCCGTAGACAGTGCCCAGCAGGCGAATCGGCCGGCACCCGAGAGCCCGTCCCGTGAGCGTCGATATGCTAAAAACCCGTCAAAGGCCCGTAGTATTTTCTTCCCGTAATATCTAATTTCATTTTATTTTACAGCATTGGTTTATTTGATTGCATTTCCGTATTAATATTTGCTAGAAGTGTGACCTTCAGTTTTTATATTCATTGTTCCCGTTTTTTTATTAATTTACTTTTGTTGTCAATATTATTTTATTTAGTTAATGCACTTCTAATATTATAATCTTTTCATATTACTTCAGTTTGTTCATTTCTTTTTATATACTGAGTGTTCTACATTTCATTATTGTTTAAATTATTATTTGGTTTGTATATCTAGAGTTTTATTATTATTTCAATATATGTATTAAATTAAACCATTGCATTTCAATCATAATATAAGCTAATTGACCCCTGGAATATCCTTTCTCCACTGTCTAAAAGCAGGCCCAGGTACGTGGTGCTTCTCCACTTTAAATAACGAAGCTGGCGCTCGAGATTTTATAAGAAAATCCTTAAGGTAAGCTCGCGCCATTTTTCACTAACGTTACAAAATCCCGAAACAACGTTACAAATTGGCGCCCGCGCAGGGACTTTTTGGCAAACCGTTCCACCCGACTCTTTAACATACCGTTCCGCCCGCCTTCCCGTTTTTTTTCTGTTTTTCCCGTTTTGATTTGTTTCTTTGGCCTAAGAGACATTAGCAACGTCTGACCGTGTGACCACTCGTTTGGTATTAACTTGTGGTCGCTGAACCCGATTTTGGGAAAATTTTTGACCTAAAGGGCCTTAGGCAAAAGTTTGATTCCCCATACCCGTGTGACCACTCGTTTGGTAGTAACTTGTGGTCGCTGAACCCGTTTTTGGGAAAAATTTTGACCTAAAGGGCCTTAGGCAAAAGTTTGTTCCCGTATAACCGTGTGACCCCTTGTTTAGTAGTAACTTGGGGCCGCTGAACCCGTTTTTGGCAACAATTTTGACCTAAAGGGCCTTAGGCAAAAGTTTGAATCCATATACCCGTGTGACCCCTCGTTTAGTGGTAACTTGAGGTCGCTGAACCCGATTTCGACAAAAGTTTTGACCTAAAGGGCCTTAGGGAGAACTTTGTGTTGATATAACTATTGTTTGGTAGTAATCCCTACTTCATGGGGAAGGGAGCCAAACGCCGGATCCGACAGGGGGACCCGGGGGTCGAGGATGGCCCTTCTGAACCCCTACCCGCCACCGAAGCCCGTGTCAGCTGGATTTACCTGCTTAAGTCTTCAGAATTAGATGAAGAGTTGGGTAAATTCGGGTTGGATATGACCGGTACCCGAGTAGACAAAAGAAAACGGCTTATTAAATTCTTTCGTTCCGGAAGTGCGAGCCCGTTTACAACCGTTGACCTCGATGACCCGTTTGTTTTCCCGACAGTTACTTCCACGGGTAATTTCAAATCCCAGGCTCCGGTTTATACCTCAGCCCCGGGACCCGCTACCTTAACGGTACCGACATGGACAGCTCCAACCTTAATAACTTCCCGTCCGATATCTCCGCACCCGTTACCCATGCCAAGCATACCCGTGGGCGTAGATACCGCTCCAGCTGTAGCTACTATAAAGTTACATAAGTGGAAAATTTTTTTTTAACGGTAAAGGAGACCCGGTGGCGTTCCTCGAACGCCTGGAGGAAATTTGTGAGTCCCAGACTATCCCGTTAGACCGGTTATTACCCCCGTTACCGCAGATCCTGGAAGGAGAAGCGGCCTTGTGGTTCCGTAATAACAAAAGGTTCTGGAACAATTGGAAAGATTTTGTTACCGATTTTAAGGGACATTATTTTCCGACGAACTATCTGACTGAGTTAGAAGCCGAAATCAGCCGCCGTTTGCATCAGCTGCACGAACCGATAACCTCGTATATTACCGATCTACAAACCCTGATTCGCCGTCACGGCGCCATTTCCGCCGACCAAGAGCTCCAATGGTTATACCGAAATCTGGCACCGGAGTTTCGATTGCATGTGCGTCGTTCAGAGTGCATAGATCTCCCGTCCTTCACCGCAGCCGTAAAAGGCTACGAAATGTTGCGTAGGGAGCTAGACCGCTCCCTCCGCAGCACTAATAGAGTTGCCCCGAGAGAAAACGTGGTAAACTCCCAGGCCACCCGCTATGTGGCTCCGATCCCGCGGCTACATCAGCCCATTCCGAACTCACAATCCCGGTCTGCTCCGGCTAACGCAAACCTCCGTCAAGACTGGACAAATGTTCTTTGCTGGAGGTGCGGAGAGTCCGGACACACCCGGCAAAGATGCACGAA